AAAGGTCACATTTGTAGTTTGGGTGTTATGTACACTGTCTTGGCCTAGGCAACACCTGCCACATTTTCCTCAAGTCCACAAAAAAGATTGATTCCCTGACAGAAACAAGAAGTCTAGCAAGTCAAAACATTGCCTCAATAGCTTGCTTAAGGTTATCTTGTTGTCAAACATGCATGTTTTTACCTGTATCCTCTCTCTGAAAATGTGAGGGATAATACATTTAACCATGGTTTTGGATAACATAAGTAAAATAGCAGCTCAGCCAAACAGATTAAAAGAACAGCTACTGCAGTATACAGTATAAGCCTTTTTTTTTTCTAAATGTTTTATCTTACCTGGTATAACACATAACATTTTTATTGTGAAAACAGAAAAGCGAGTGTCAAAAGGGCCAATGTATGGCACTTAGAGAGAAAGAAAAATGTTGAACATAACAAGTTCTCATGTCAGGGCCTGCACAGAGCCACACCTTTAAGCATCACTCAGAGGCTGGTTTCTCAATGGGTTTTATTTCCCCAAAGAATAGTTTTGATCTGCTAAATGTAAATTCTGCAAGAAGCATCAAAACCTTAAGGCTGCAGTATAACTTTAAATTGACCCAAAATTTAAATGTACAGTGATGAAACTCCTAGCCAGGAAAATGAATAGTAGAATGAAAAACAGCTCAAGGATCAATTTTGAAGGAAATGCCAAAAAATGTTTTTAAAGATATACTTCCTGCAGCTTTTGTCTTTCCTTTATATTACAGAGAATTTCTTTTCTCACACTGGGATTTTAAATTAATTTATAATTATACACACTTGCAGGGGATGAGAGAGAAATGACCTAATTATAGACCAAATGGATACCCTCTGGCTATCTTGCAATTAGAGCTACTGGGGTAATAGACGGTGCTTTATTCCGCCTTGAGTGGACTCAGTGGTTAACCTGGCAGTGCATGTTGGAAGTGATTCACATAGTTCACAGCAAAATGTCAAAATCTGTGCAGATTATTTGGAAGAAAAAATAAACAGATAAAACTAAACCTGAAAAGTGATTGTGAAACTGAAACTTCCCCTGCTCTGAACAGATAGAAGTACAAACTCTGACCATCAAGGGAGAAAAAATAAGCAAAGGGTTTTAATGCTGTCTCTGTATCTAACTAGATTCTAATTAGTTACAATTATGCTGCTGGGGAATAACAGCTACAGTGACACTGAAGAAGAAAATGCCCAGTTCTAACATAATTCCCACCATTTCTTTAGATTTCTCTTTTTTGCTGAGATTTAGTTAGAAACGGTAGAGGAAGCAAAAGGTCTTAACAGGTATCTAACAGGGTCACTGAAGCAGCAAATTCCTTTTTAGTAATTCTTTGGCCTTCTTACTTTTCTCTCTGTACACTCTACAGCAAAGGGAATAATTGCTTTTATAATGTGTACTCAATTCTTTTCCCTTCTTCCAGCCAAGAGGGCATTTCTCTGCCTGTTCTTTCTGTACCAACCCCAAACAGGATACTTAACCTGCAATTTGAAAAGAGCCATGTTCTTTGTCTAGTTAAAAAAAATATTCTGCCTATGGAGTTCCTAAAACCCATATGAAACACTTAGCAAATGATATAAATGACATGTTATTGAGAAGGAGAAAAAGAGCCAATAATGTACTATTCATAGGTCGGGAGAAAATCAGCAGAACAGAGTATTGTCATGTGTGTACAATGGCTACACTGAGTATATCAACGAGGTGAGGAGATTATGACCCAGTTTATGTGTACTGAGGGGGATGGTGATGGTGTGTGACTGCTGACTGTCGAGACAATTCTTGCATTTCAAATGATTAATTATTTGGTACCCTTTTCTGTTTTCTTATATATAAAATGGGATTATCTAAAGCTGTGGGATAGTAAATACTTAAGGTATAAATATTTTATAGCGTCATCGATACATTTATGTAGTTTTGTTAAACAAAACTATGTAACATTCTTTTAATGAAATTACACATATTTTAGTGAGCCATTGGTTAAAATATAGTTTGTCTAGATTTTCTAGCTATAATTCATGCAGTACTGGTTTTTTTTTTTTTTTTTTTTTTGGATAACAAAAAAATTTCAAATATTTACCCAAATCTTGTAAAGTGAAATCATGAGATGTTCTGTTCTCAGATCTCTGTTTAAAGGATATATTCTAAATAGAAGAATCATTCAAGCAAATCAGAAACATAGTTACTACTACAGGGAATGGAAGAAAATTGAGATTTAAGTGACAGTTTTAACTATATCAAAATGGAGTCACTTGAAAATATGTAAATAGGAGATGAAGAACATTTAAGAAATTAAATAACTCAATGGAAGCAATGAAGAGTAAGTTGGATATCTCACAAAACCAAATAGGTAAATAAGTAAACCAAGTAGGTAAATCTGATGGCTATACATCTATGCAACATTCACAATTATTTATTGTGTGCCAGGTGTGTGGTGGAAAAGACAGAGAGTGGAGTTTAGGGTCTACAGGATGAGTTGGACCCAGACTCTTAGGAAAAAGATAGTGATGGAATTTTAAAAGAATAAACACAAATTTTGCTTCTATTTTCATGTTGCTAATACAAGTGCAAATATGCTTAAAGATGAAATAGCCAGTGGAATAAAAGTAGAAACAGAACTTCCAAACCAGACCTCTGTAGTAAGGCTATCCAAAACCATTTCCCTACTCCATCACTTACGGAACTACTCACCTTGAGTGGTCTCTGAATATTTTTCATCACATTTTTCCTTTTCAAGATGGGTATATTAATGGTACCAACTTAATGTTGCATTAAATCTGCTAATATGTGTTGAAATTTGGGGACTATACCTATTTTATGGAAACCCTTTAATAAATGTTGGCTATCACAATTACAGTTATCATAAGGGGAAGTACAAGTTGGGCAATGGTGTTTGGCACATGGGTACTTAATAAATATTTTGAATGATCTAATGAATTAATATGGAAAAATATAAAAAAAGTAAATAAAACTTTCTAATAAAGAAAAACATGAGAAGACTGAAATTAAAAACCACAATTATTAAAATAAATGTAGGTAAAAATTACTCTATTGAAAAATTAGGACTTTATATTAATAGAAAGAAAGTTCATATATATTCTATCTCTAAGACATCACTTTTCAGGGGTGCCTGGGTGGCTCAGTGGGTTAAAGCCACTGCCTTCAGCTCAGGTCATGATCCCAGGGTCCTGAGATAGAGCCCCGCATTGGGCTCTCTGCTCAGCGGGGAGCCTCCCTCCCCTTCTCTCTCTCTCTGCCTGCCTCCCCTTCTCTCTCTCTCTGCCTGCCTCTCTGCCTACTTGTGATCTCTGTCTGTCGAATAAATAAATAAAATCTTAAAAAAAAAAAGACATCACTCTTCAAAAAAAATGAAAGAACAATGTTGAAAATGTAGGACAGATCATGCTATACAAGGCAAATGAAAACCAACAGAAAGCAGGTGAGCAATACCAACATCAAAGAAAGAAGAATTCAGAGTAGACACATATTAAATGTGAGAAAAGAATGTTATTTTGAAATAGAAGATATGATTTAAAATGAATCTATGAACCTAAAGTATTATACCATATTGAAAGGAATAACTTGTATAAATATAAGGAGAAACTATAAGATCTCAAAGTAAGAAGGTATAATGTATTTGTCTTATACTTTACCAATTAAGTACCACAAAATGATTATTAAGTAGTAATTCTAATGGTTTAAAAAAAAATCAATGCCCTCTTTTGATAAATATAAAAATCTCACACCATCTTTACATGTTATTTGAAATTTAAAAATAAATTGAATTATTAGTAAAATAAAGCTGATGGTAAATATAATTTTTTGAAAGCATATATACTATATAATTTGATATAGTAAGCAGGAGTTTGTGGCCAAAGTTGAAAAACCACTGTGATACAGGATCTGAATAATATAGTTAATTAAACTAATTAAATGAACATACAGATAATCTACTTCACAAAGAAAACACATGTTATTTTTAAATATTTATGATGTATTTACAAAAATTGTTAATAAGGAAAACATGAATACATTCCCCAATACGTAGTTTGAAACATACACTATTTTATGGTAATTTTTGCAAGCCACAAAGCAACCTTACATGGACAAACCTAATCAGAATTGCACAGTCTGTGCATACCCATTGCAATAGAGCTGTAAATTTATTTTTCTTTGGAAAATAATTTTTGAACACCCTTTAAATGCATGTTTATTGGTTCAATGAAAGAACAAAAACCAACATTTCATGCCATTTAAAAATTCATAGCAATGAAAACAGTATATACTATAATCTTTAGCATTTGTTATCAGTCTCTATCGTCTGCATAATTCTAGGTCTCCATTTTGTTTATGCCAGCACATTCCTATCCTTTTTTTTCTCTTGAATTGAAGTTTTTGGTAACAATTTGTTTGAATAAAGGATTTCACTATTAAGAATCAACTCTAGAACCAAGAAAGAACAATTTGTTAATTTAAAAAGGAATAAAACAATAAATACAGGAAAAATTAATAGATTAAAATGGAGACTTTAATAAAATTATAGCTAAACTCCAGAGGTAGAAAATCTAATAAGAAAGCCAAATGAAAATTCATGTTCTGATATTAGGAATTAGACTACATAGGCATCATTAATAAAAAGCAAATATTAATTTAAATATTGAGCTAATGTATGTGTGTGTGTGTGTGTGTGTGTGTCTTATGTATGAAATATAAATCAGTAAAAGTTAAGCAATAAGAGTTAAAAAGAAAAAAGAAAAGAAGATTACACATAATAAATTTTACTTAGTCCAAGAATGTAAGTCTCATTAAACATTGGCAAATGTAGTAATGTGATTCCTCATATTAGTGAGAAGACTGCATGACCATGTGACTAATTAAAAAACAAACATTAGCTATAATTCAGCAACCACTCTTTTTTTTTTTTAATATAACAGAACATTTATTTACATTAGTTTTCCATCAACACAGTAGTCATTTAATGTTAACTACATTGTCCATTTCCATTGGTTGGCAGGAGGCTTTTCCACTAAAGGCTCCCATGGTTTCCACTGTATCACTTTTCTTGCCAGACCTAGTTCATTTTCAGCCTGAAGAATCACCTCTTCTAGGTAGCCTCCCCGAACTCGGTCTTCTAATTTCTTAATACCTGGTTCTGCTTTAACTATACTTAGCTTCTCATTTGTAACCTGTTCTGTATACTTTCTATATGCTGCATTTTTAGGAATTCACTTAAGAACATCAAATCTTTGTGTACAATATTCTTAGCCTTTTGTGTGGACTTTCACATAAGCCAATCCCACAAGGCCAGTGGTCTTCAGCAAACCCACCATGATAGCCATTCAGCATCCATTCTTACAAAATTTTTTAAAACACCAAATCCATGGTAACTAGGTATAGTTATGTAATAAGATGTTTTATCTGAACCAAGAGCAGATATCATGCTGAATGGAGGTATACTCAAGGATGTTCTGTTAATAACAAGAACAAAATACCAATGTCTGCTTTCACCTCTACAATGAACAGTGTTCTGAAAATCGTAGCAGGTATAAAAAGAGAATAAAAATAAATAAAAATTCATTCACTTTGGAATGAACCTGCCGTTAGTTACTATTTTTTTTTGATATTATAGAAAACATATGGTAATCAATTGCAAAATCATTTGAATTAATAAAAATTTAAATAGGTGTCCACTTATTTAGTAAATATACCAAAATATAATAGCTTTTCTGTATAGCAGTTAGAAAATATAATAGAAAAATAATCATTATATTCACAATAGCAAATAATCTATAAATTATTTAAGAATAAACTTAATAAAAGACATATAAGACAAATGTAATTATGAAACTACACTGACTATCATAGAATAAGAGCTGAATAAAAGAAGGTGCATGCTATTTTCCTGGATGAAATGATTTAAATGTATAAATCTTCAAAAATTAATACTGAGATATAATTCCAATTAAAAACTCTTGGTATAGTTTAATTTTTGATAAAATCATACTTAATCTTGAAGAATAAACATGAAAGAATATGGTTAGGAAATTTTTGAAAAAATAATTTGAAATAATAATTTGTCCTATCACATATTAAAACATATGATGAAGGTAAAACAAATAAATAGCATTTTTCTAAAAGCAGGTTAGACTAGAAGCACTTAGGTGTTTCAGTCAGTTGAGGGTCTGACTCTTGGTTTGAGTGTCAGTCATGATTTCCTGGGTCATGAGATCAACCCCACATTGGATTCTGCACTTAGTGAGTAGTCTGCTTGAAGATTCTCTCCCTCTGTCCCAACACTCTTCACGTGTATGCTCTCTCTCTTTCTCTCTCTCTCTAAAATAAATAAATAAATCTTAGAAAAATTATAGTAGACTAGAAACAGACCATAATCTTAAAATAAATTGAGACAAGTATAGATACAAATCAGTATATGACCCCTCAAGCCATAGTATTATGGTATTAAAATACAGTATTATAAGCTCATGATATTATAAGCTTATACAGTATTATGGCTCATCAAACCATTAAGTAAAAAGTGAACTATTTATTTAATGGTATGACAAAACAAGCTATACCATATTTTATGGACAACATTTCATTGCTATTGCATACGTCAACTGTAACTAAATTAAAAACTACCAAAAATCCATAAAATGTTTGATGCAAATTGCTGAATATATGAACAGTTATCCTGTGGGGTCAGGCCTTCCTATGCATGACCAACTGTAGAACCATAGGGAAATGTTCATAAATTGGCAAAAACCATAACAACGAAAGCCTTAAATAAAAACAGAAGGAGATAAAACAAAAATTTCAGAATTTTTCAGAAAATCACTATAAACGGTACTAGAAAGCAAACCACAAATCCAAAAAAAAATTCTAGTGTCTATATGCAAATGCCCAATTCTGATATGTAAACATTTCTTTCAAGTTGGTAAGTAAAAAAGGAACATCTTAATGGAATATTGAGCAAAAAACACAGCATGGAATTAAAATTAATGAATTAAAGTGGACAATAAATGAATAAATAGATGTTTGGATTCAATAGCGAGGAAAGAAATGCAAATAAAACAAAACCAAAATAGTATTTTCCATCTATCATATTTTTAAAGACTAAAATAATTACTAATAGTATAATCAGGATGTTGGAAAGTAGCCAAACTTCTGTTACAAGTTAATAAAACTTTTCTAAAGAGCTATTTAAAAAAAGTATCATGTGCATACCCTTTAATCCAGCAATTCCATTTTTAGTAATTGCTTCTAAGGAAAAATACCCTCAAAATTCCAAGTGATAGTAGGATTATTATAGAGCTTAGATATATAATTTATATATGTATTAAGTAATCATAAATAATCTAAGTGTTGAATAATAGCAGCTTAGTAAATAAGTTATCTCAAAGTTATACAATGACCTATTACACAGTCATACTAATTGAATATGATAAAAATATATCAATGGAGAGAGATGAACAAGCACATTAGGGTGCCTGATATGGTCTCATTTTTATATGAAAATAGAAATCTCCCTTTCTCTCTGTATGTATATACATATGTATATATGTTATAGGCTGAACTGTGTCCCCTCAACATTCATAATTTGAAGTTCTAACCCCCAGAACCTCAGAATGTGAATACATTTGGGGATTGAAACTTAAAAGAGATTATTACATTAAAATGAGGCTATGAAGTTAATCCAATCTGACTGATATTCTTTTTTTTTCTTTTTTTTTTTTTTTCTGACTGATATTCTTATAAGAAGAGGGAATTTGGACAAACACAGGGACACAGACATACACAGAAGAGGCCATGTGAGAACAGAGTGAGAAGGCAGCCATTTGCAAGCCAAAAGAGAGGCCTCAGAAAAAAACAGACCTGCCTACACCTTACTCTTGGGCTTCTAGTCTCCAGAACTTAGAGAAAAAAAATTTCTGTTGTTTAAGTCATTCAGTTATGATATTTTGTTAGGGTAGCCCTAGCAAATGAATGCTGTATGTTTGTACATGTGCATGGGTCTATGTGTGTATGTGTATAAATATTACATATAAATTATAAGTGTATTACATATACTCTATATGTGTGTGTGTATATATATATATATATGTATTTATATAGACACAGACACTCATACACACACACATATACATATATTTGGTAGGCTAGAATAATATATCCCACAATGTCGATAGTAGTTATTTCTAGACATTAATTATGATTTTGGGCTTATTTTTTCTAGATATTTATAATTAGTACTTGTTTTTATAAGAACAAAAATAAAGTCACTTTAATTCACAAAAAAAGAAGCTCAGTACTCAACTGATTCTTGTTTTGTATATCTAGTATAGTGCCTTATGCATAGAAAAGGCACAATATAAATTGTATTGATTAAAACAATTAAAGACTAAATTGTATGAATTGACAGGTTTTGTTAAATGACTCTCTAAAGCACAATAAACCTTCACGGAGATACAGTATCTACAGATTCTTTTTGTATTCAGGTCTATATTTTCATGGTGCTCTCTCTCCTACCCTACCCAGGAAGCAAATGCATAAGACTTATATTTGATTCTTAGCTATGTTTACTTCTATTTTTCTTTTAAGAAATTTCAGTTCCTTACTAGTTACAGATTCTATTTTTAGGCTTGATTGGCATCATTTAAATTTTTTTTCCTGACATTTGATTTGTGTGTGTGTGTGTGTGTGTGTGCTTTTTGTTTTATTTTGTTTTTTTGTTTTCCCTGACACTGCATTTTGGTTAGGTTATGTATGAACTTGGTGCAATGGCTCCCTGACATTCAGGTTTCTCTTCCTGTGGCCCACCATCTCCCTGTTTCCACCTCTGAAGCTACCATGGCATATTGACAAGTGAGAATGGATAGAGCCTCAGTGTCTGACATAGATAAAGCTATCAAAAAACACCCTGCAGGGGCAAGCCCCAGGTCCAAATAGGTCTTGTTAGATCTGTATAGACACTTTAGAGTTCCTCTTTCTGAACATACATTTAATCATTGTACAGATGCAAGCCATTTTCCCTTTGCCCCTAAACTCTGGATCCTGAGATCACAAATCTGTACCTCCTGCGGGCATGTATCTTTTATTAATGGAAACATCAAAATTCCAGTGTAGCTTTGGCAACTCAGTTTGCAGAGAATTATTAAGCTATTTTGAGTGCTCCAGAAAAGTAGGATGCATATCTAGTATTAAAAAATGTCATACAGAGATGGAAATCTAATCAATCGTATTTCAGATGAAGGAATAAATAGCCTTTGTGATTTATGTTATTAGTGAAACTAGTTAATAGAAGTAAATTAGGTTTTTGTGTGATAGAGACATTATCAATTAATAGCTCCTGCATTTTCAGTACCTTGTATATAAAATAAAATAATAAAATAAAATAAAATAAATCCTTGTCTTTAGACCTAGAATCTTAAGTGTCACCAGACAGAAATGTATTTCCTCCTTTTTTGGTTCAATCATTTAAAATTTCTCAAAGATACATAAGATAAATTAATGAAAGAAAGGTTGGTCATGGAAAGGGGGAAATCATAAGTTTCTGTGACAGTGGAAAACAGAAAGCATACAACTAATGTCATTTATCTATTAATAACCATCACTGAAATTTGTGGATTCAGGGTTGCTATAACAGGAAAATTGAAATTGAAAGACCTCCTGTTGGGAATGTGTATTGCTTCTCATAGCCAAGCTTCTCAGGGGTTTGAGTTCAGTACTTCATCAAGGGAAGGAAGCTTCTCATGTAATGTATGTGAATGCAGGAATCAGTGTTCTGAAATTCATATTTCCCAAAGTACAATCTTAATTTAATTTTCTGCAGCCTTTCTGGGGGATGGTTTTGCTGAGGTTGCCATTTAGGTAGCTTCATGGTGCAGCATTTATGGGTTTGGGTTCAATGGTTTGCTTATGCAGATCCTGCTGCACTTGCCCCCATGTTGGCCAAAGTAAGAAAACACAGGTATTTCCAATTTTCTGTTCTGTAAGGAAGATAACAGAGATTGAAAACTAAACTACTTTTTTTTAAAAAATATTTTATTTATTTATTTGATAGAGAGAGATCACAAGTAGGCAGAGAGGCAGGCAGAGAGAGGGGGAAGAAGCAGGCTCCCCGCTGAGCAGAGAGCCCCATGCGGGGCTCGATCCCAGGACCCTGAGATCATGACCCGAGCCGAAGGCAGAGGCTTTAACCCACTGAGCCACCCAGGTGCCCTGAAAACTAAACTACTTTTATAGAGAATCTGAGAGATATGAAATGGAATATTTCTATTTGAAGTATAAAGGGGTTTTCTAAATGGGAACAATATTGATGAAAAGGATTCTG